ATATAATATATTTAGATATATATAAATTATATATAAATATATAAATTTAATATAAATTATAAATATATTTAATACAAATTTATGATTATATATAATATATATATGATGATGATTATATATTAGGTTAATAAATATTATATATTATATATATATATATATAAATTATGATTAATATTATTGTAAATTTTATATAAATATTATATAATTTTATTAATAAATTGTTAATAAATTTGCTGTAAATATATATGTAAATATATAAATATATATGATAAAATATAAATTTCATCATATATATAAATTTGTCTATAAAATATAAATTGTTAGATACTAAACCACTATGTTTAGTATTTATTTCATCATAGATAGCAAGATAATATATATTTATTAATAAAAATTGTTAATATATAAGATATATACTATTGTTAATATTGATGAAAGTCAATTCTTATCCACAATATTGGTGAACCTACAGTATTCCAAGATTACTTGAAGTTTGTTGTCTCATCTGAATTTTTCATTGGCCTTTGGGTTTCTTTCTGCTCTCAGTATATTGTGTTTTATTTTACAAACATTCCTACACATATAACTCCACGTTTGTTGGTTGCGATGCTCTGACGGGATCTTTTTTCAATTTGTCTCCTCTGCATGGTTAATGCACGACAGCCAAAATTGCCCGCCGATGAGATTCTCGGGTGTGTTGATTCAGGTGTTCATTGACAAGGTCTCAGGACGTTGCTTGGTTGCTTCAACTGATCATCCAGCATGCTCTTTCGCCAGTGTACTGTACTAGCTATATCAAAGGTGCTCAGTTAAATCTTGTGTGGTTTCTATGCCATTTGACTGTTGAAGTTAACTGCAGTCTACCTATGTCTTCAGTCAATTACTTGAAGGTGATTGTCATTTTAAGCCTATGGTTTCAGATACAATTTTGCGTTGTTGTTTCATTGCAACTACGCCCTGCATGATTCCAGCGGGGGTAAAATGACCTGCAGTGAATACTCACCTTACAGCTCTTTCTGCTTATAGCTGTGGTTAGATGAACCAAATGGCTCTGTGATAGCTGTGAATAATCAGGCTAAGTACAAGTGTGAAGTTATGGTGCATGGGCACCATGCTGCTCGTTTTTTTTTCAAAAATAAATCCAAAAACATAATTAGAAGTAAAAAAAAGTCGAAAAAATTCTGTGGAAATTTGTATGTGTTCAATACAGATCCATGAAATTTTGTTTTGAAAAAAAATATAATTTGTAAGTTGTACAAAAAAAATTGCTCACTTGAAAATACATATATGTCTTCCTTTTATACGCCACGTGTGGAAGTTAAATGTTATGAAAATTTGTACGTATGTATTATGTGTGTGTGTGTACAAAAAAATCAACATTTTTCACGTTGTAGAAAATGTTTTTCTTGGTGCCGGGCACCATTTGCAATTTCCAGGCTAAATACGCACTACACGTTTGCTGCCTTGTTTTTTCTTTGCAAGCAAACTGGGCTGTGTTTTTGGGCTTCGTACACTATGTTTGCTGTGTTGAAAGAAATAGCAACCACTGGATCCACCGGATGGAGAATGGAGGGCATCCGGTGGTGGCTAAGGGCCTGTTTGGTTCCAAATAAGTCACCAACTTATAAGTCAAAAAGTAGAAAAGGTGACTTATTTTGCCAAACAGATCCGACTTATAAGTCACCTTAACTTATAAGTCATAAGTTGCTCAACCCCAACTTAAAACTTATAAGTCACCCTCTTTTATGTGGGTCTTACCACCCGTGACTTAGTGAAGTGCATGGTGGCTACGGGCATCCACGGTGTGTGCCCAAATGGTAGTGCCAAATGCTAAAATAGCTTTTGGCATTGGTTCTCACATCGTGGAGGTATTGCCAAATGAAAGAAAAGAACGTCAAATCAAAGAAAAGATGGAACCGGAGATGCTAGGGGCGCCCATGCCAAATCCAAAGTGACAATAAACAAACATTTTTGCATGCTACCTCCACTTCATGGCTGAAAAGGCACACGATTCATGTGCATGCCGGAGAGAAAGAACCGGATGCATACATTATAAAGAGAGAGAGATGTCTTTTTTTTTACTCTGCAGTGAGTCTCATCTTAAAAGTAAATTTGGAACCAATGGCATATGCGGTTGTGTGTCAGATTTGGCTATGGCATACATTGTGCATGCTTAGCCTCTGACTTAGTGAACTGCACGCAAGAGAATCTCCTCTGGAGCAATTAGTTAAAGAGTACCCTTTGAGTGAGCTTCTCAAGGGTCGCTGAAGAAGAGTGTGAGGAGTGCTCCTGTGCTGCCACATGTCGCGGTTGGGTTTCATCTTTGTTTTAAAGAAATATAAAAATGAATTATGAATATAAAGTAAAATGATTCAACTTATAGACTGTATTGTTACTCTTGCTACCATCAGGATAGATATGTCCTCTTCCTCGGTTTCCCCCTACATATATGGGATATTTTAAGAAATGAGCATCTTTCTTCGTAGCAGGATCAGGGGAAAGAATGGGAAAGAAGTCGAAGACGCGGAATGATAGTGAATAGAGAGAAAGATTCTTCTGATTTTCTTGTTTCTATCTACTAGACGCTGTAGAGAATTGAGAATTTTCTTTTCCCATTCCCTCTCTATTGCATGGGTGGAAGAACTAAAATAGAGGATTCTGAAAAAAAAGGACCATTGAAATCCAATTTTATGTGTGCATCCCGAGCAGTAAGCTACAGGTGATGGGAATGGAAGTGGTGGCTAAGTTATCCTCTAACTTAGTGAACTACATCGGAGAATCTCTTCCGGGAGCAACTAGTTAAAGGGTACTCTTTGGATGGCTTCCTAGGAGTCACTCATGGGAAGTGTGAGGAGCGCTCATATGCCGGCACGTGTTGCGGGTGGGTGCACTCCCTGCAGGAAGCGACAGGTTCACTGAAACGAAAGTTGCGGCTAAGTTACCCTCTGACTTTGTGTATTGCACATAGAGAATCTCCTCTGGGGGCAGCTAGTTAAAAGGTACGCACCGGATGGGCTTCCTAGGGGATACTAATGGGGACTTGGGGAGGGCTCCTACATTGTCGCATGTCGTGCACTGGGCCCAACCCCATAGAAAACGATAGGTTCACGGGAATGGATGGCGTATGAATGGTTTTTTTCCAACTTCCTTGGGGTTTTCTCGGTTTCTCGATTTTTTTTCTGGTATCTATGACTCTTTTTCTTCAGTTTTTTTCATTTTTCATCTTGTATTGTATATAGGAAGCACAAAGTGTGCTCCCACGGGCAGCACAAGTGCGTTTTACGGGTAGCCCAAGGCGTGTTCCCGTAGTGGAGCACAACGACGAAAAAGGGTTACTCCCCGCTTTATATATAAAACAACCATCGCCACAACATTCGAGTAAGAAGATACAAATGCACTCCACCACCACACGCAATGCACGCACCCAAGATGAGATACGAAGGTGTCGCGCACCGAAACACCACCCCAACGACGACCAAGCAACCTAATGATAAACAAAGAAAAACTGCTTGGGCGATGGAAACCACACCAAGATAAGCAATCCATCGAGGAGCGGTGAGACGAATATGGCCGAAGCGAGGACTCCAAGATCATGCCTTCAGGAAGGATACAACCACATGTACCATCACCGTCTTATCCCCGAGGATCAACTTTTCACCCGGAGGACCACGAAAGGAGTGGGAGCACCACGACGGAACCTACAAGGAGGAGAACGACGTCCACGGACGCCGCCTCCGTCGACCAGTATAGGGACTGGGCAAGTGGTGTACCCCGGTACTCCTACCCCTCTGTCGCATATCCGCTCCGCCAACCACCCGCAGCCATGCTGCCCAAGCGACCATGGCTTCCCGCCTGCACCCGAGCCACAATGTCAGCCCACAACCAACGCGTCTCCCATTGCCAGAGCCGCCGCCCCGCACCCAGACCGCCCCGAGAACCACCAAAGTCCGTGACTTTGAGCAGATCCGCACCCGAACCGTCACCTGGACCAATGACCAATGACGGGGGCGGAGTGGCGCGCCCAAGGACCAATGGTCCAGTTTCTACTCAAACTCGATTTTATTTTAAAATATAAGGCGTTGAGGTGGGCCCCTACCACGCTCTCGGTACACACACGCGGTGACGTCAGGGCGCGAACCGACCCGACCTAACCCCAGAGCCCGAAGCGAACCCGACCGCACACGTGGTACCCCACCCCACCCCACCCCTCCCGTCTCGAAGCCTCCCGGATCGGCGGACCGACCGACGACCCAGCCGCAACCCAACCCCAACCCCGGTGCCGTCGTCCCCACGGGCCTCCCCGCCCC